AATAGAATGAGAGGATATATCAAACGAAAATAACAACGGTGAATCAAAAAAATATCAAGAAGACAACATAATAACAATAGAAGAACAACGAATAACATTGTAAACAATATCAACATGAACAACATAATAATATTAGAAAGAAAATCAAATATTTAATAGACTGAGAAAATCAAACGAAAATATCAACTACGAAAAAAATGTGCAAACAATAGTGTGGTTTGGTGCGCCGGAGATGTGAATGAATGCAAATGATGGAGTATTTATAGTGTTTGAGATGAAATGTAAGAAGATCTTTGTAGATTTAGATAAATTAGGCAATTATATTCTTATTGATATTAATATAATTAGTTAATTAATGGAGATTTTTTTACGGATTGATTGATGATTGATTATAGTTAAATCAATAAAAAATTGTGGTTTTATGTAATATATAGTCAATGATAGTTGTAGCATAATCATCAAATTCCTAAAAAATAGATATGTTAAAAAATCGGATAGTTATGTTCCATATTTAACGAATATGAGAAAATATTAACCAAAAATAGATTGAATTGTACCTTAAAAGGTTAATTAAATTATTACCATATATAAATTGGAACATTAATATAAAGCAAACAAAATAAAATAATCATCAAAATTTTGAAAAAAGAGTTGGAGTTCAAAAATAAAATAGGATTCGAATGAAAAAAACACATAAATGATATTTAAACTAATCCAAAAGTCTTAATTAATATAAAAATTAGCTTCATATTAATATTCCGTGAAAATAGTTCTTGGATGCAATTAAACAATTTCCTTAATTATATTAATTATTAAATAATTAGCTTCATATTAAAATATAATAGTAATATGTTTCCCTTAAATAATTGATATGTATGAGCGTAAATATTGGAAGCTATAAATAGTAAAAATTAGGATATAAGATATTTAATTATTTATTCAAATGAATTAAATTTATATTGAAACATGGCTGATGCTTAGGATGCCTACGTGGATGGTGACATGGATGACACATGTCGTAATTCTAGACCATGAGGGTTTCAATTTATATATTATATAGATATAGATTACTGTTTGAATAACAAATCAACAGCTATTTTTAGTATTTTCACAGGGCCGAAGCAGCAGTTTGTTGTTTGCTCCGATGAAGTCAGCATTCTTCTTAACGACTTCGAGTTTGCGCAAAGCTCTAAAAACTTGCTTCATTTTAGGCCTTTCCGATTGGACTCTATTAACACATTCTAACGCAATCATAGTAACCTTGTGCCCATCTTCACCACAAAATTCGCTTTCAGCCGCCATACTTTTATGCACAAGCGAAAGCTTTGCATCTCTCATTTCACTGTACGATTCAAACGCTTGGCATTGTCCTGAAGCCCATTCGTAAACAGTTGGTAAACCAGATTGCCTGTCTTCGTCCGTGTAAACTCTCTTTGATATCAAACTTAGAAGTATCACCCCGAACGCAAACACGTCTTGTTTGTTCGAGCATTCATCTGTAACAAAATCCAATAGATTAGTCGTAATTCGAAAAATATGATTGGGGACTCAGAAGCATTATACTCGAGATATTCTGAATCAAATGTCGGAGAGATTGTAATAAATAACGAGCTATTCCTTCGTAATATTATGTATCAGGAAGAGGGGTAGTTTTTTTTTTTTTTTCATTGTACTTGTCCTTTTCTGGAATACGATAATCTCACATCTCCGAGTTGAAAACCGGACAAGAACGAATTAATGCGAAATGAGAAATTTTGACTACAATAAATGCTCTTAAGATAAGCTGCGTGCAAAGTGTTTTGAAGCGTGCGAGCTATTCTTCACAAAAGGGACGGCAATTGTTTAGCTTTCGTTGCAATTAGATATCTCGATATTAGTTCAACAAGTTCTGCACAAATAAATTAGTTGGAATATCGGAAAATTGAAATACCTTCACTGTGTGCACCAATATCAATGTAGCCATAGCATCCCACGGCACTAGGGCACGAACATATTCCCGTATCGGGGAGAATTCCACCAATCATCTGAGCAAAATCGCATAGCTTTGCATTACAGTCCTGCACGATTCGTCAATTAATTACTATTTTTTCGTTCGTTTATTGTATGATAATCAACTCACGGATGTAAATCAGATATATATATATATATATAAATATATATATATATATATATATATATATATATATATATATATATATATATATATATATATATATATATATATATATATATATATATATATATATATATATATATATATATATATATATATAT